TAATGTTGCAGTGAACGTGGAACGTGGGAGTGCAGATCTCTTTTCAAAATAGTGATTTCATTTTCTTCAGATGTGTACTCAGAAGTAGAAGTGCTGCGTCATATGGTAGCTCTATTTTTAGTTTTTCTTTAGGAACTGCCATACTGTTTTCCATAGCTGCTGCCCCAATTTACATTCTCACCAACAGAGCGTAAAAGAACGTTGTTTTTTCAGTAATTAGAGGAAGGAGGTCCCAGGATTTTTTTCAGCAGCTCAGTGATGTTATGGATTTAGGATCTTTTCCTTTTTCTACTCATTCATCTATAGACTGGCCTTAGTCATCCATTGGTTTAGGGTTAGGGTTATGGCTGTCATCTTTGCAAGCACCTCAACATAACAAGCATCTCAAACAGGAAGCATGGGGGCAGGAGCATAAAAGGTTTTCACCTCATGCAGTTGTTTAAATCAGGGAAACAGCTCTTACTCATAGCTCCTACGACAGACATTACCTCCAAGTGGGTGGCGTGACCAACTCAGATCCATCCTTGCAAAGAGGGGATTGTCATGACTGATTAGACCAATCATGATTCATCACTAAGGACTGGTACTCAAACAGACAAAATAGAAACACTGCATATAATGCTAAGTTTTTTGTATGTTTTTGATAATAGCCACTGTTTGAAGATCAGCCCACTACACAGGCATAGATAAATCAAGTTATATCTGACTAAAGCAACAGTGTTCTGAGAAAACTCTTTGTAAACTGCTGTGCATCAAAAGGATGAACAATCACTCCCCTAATGACCAAATCTCACCTGTTTCCAGAACTGGTTCGAGTTCTAGCACCACCAGGAAGCACAATGCAGTGAAATAGTGTGGGACTGGAGGAAGCCTGACCACTGTTCAAGCCCTGATTCCTTACTCGTCACCTGTTACCTTGGGCCAGGTATGGAAGCCAGAACCTTGGTTTTCTCAACTGTAAAATATGAAGCTACCACTCCCATACAAGGGAGCTTTAAGGATTAAACGAAATCGTAGACAAATCATACAGATGTCTGACGTTAGTAAGGACAGTTTGGTCTGGCAGTGAGGGGGCCCAGGTAGGTGTATGTGAATAAGACAGCTGTTATAAAAGTAAAAGTATTCCCTGCCCCCCAGAAGCTGAAGTGTGAGCGAGCACGCATTTGGAAAGGAAGTGTGGTAGCAGAAGAAAGGGCTGGGATACAATTAAGGGACATTCCTTTCAGCTGGTATCAGTTATATACCATACTAGTGGTTGCAAATAGAAATTGGTTCACTTTCCTGTTGAGAATCACCCAGTGAATTTTGGATGTATCATTTGGAAGTGATGGTATTTTTATAAAACAATAAAGCTAGTCATAGAAATTATTTAGGAAGTTTCCTGTGAATTTACTAATAGGAGAACTGTTTGTGTGGAGTAATTAAGATTATTTATGCAGCTACTTTTAAACTGTGCGACGTGAGAGTGACCGTTGTGAAGCGAGCTTACCATCAGCGAGCACTTCTAGTCCAGGCTTTGTTCCAAGCACATTACACGGATCAATTCTTTCATTTCATGCCCACAACAATCCTATGAGGTAAGCACTTTTATTATCTCCATTATTTTCTGGTGAGAAAACGACAGTGAGATTAAATGAGGTTATAAAACTCGTAATAGGCAGCATCTGAACTCAACAATCCAGCTCCAGATCCCACGCCCCTAACTGCTACATCCTACACAGCCTCTCAGTGGAAGCAGAGCTGGGCTAACTTGTTCAGCTGCTTAAGCAAGGCCAGTGCCACTTAGCCTGTCTGTATAAGCAGGTGGCAGTTTGTCCTCACATGCAGAGCTGGAAAAGTCTACTCCGCCTACCTGGAACAGGGGCAGAGGATGTGGGTGACGCTCGATGCCTGATGGAAAGAGGCGGGGCGGGGTGTCCCCCTCATGGACGGGCTGGGACCAACCATTCCATTCTTTGCTCCACAGCTTTAAATGGCTGGACCGTGTGGGTAAGAGCAAGGCTAGTGAAGTCCACCCTCTCCAACAACCTGGACGAAACCAATTACTGTTTGAAACAAATATGAAATTTAATTTTAGACAGAGCCAGTTCAAATATATCACTTGGTGTCATTAAAAAGACAATTTTTTGGGGCTTCCCTGGTGGCTCAGTGCTTGAGAGTCCGCCTGCCGATGCAGGAGACGCGGG